ATAACTTGTAGGAGCGTCAAAAAAGCGTCATCAGCTGTCCCCTATTATATTTCTCACCACCTTAGCTTAACCGGTGGTACACTCAACTTGTGAGATGGGGTGCGTGAAGTATTGTATTTTAGGTTATTTTAATATTATCATGGGGAAATTTCGTTTTTCTCTTATAAGGTCTGATCAAGGTAATATCATGTTCTCGATCGTTCGCATTTAGACACCACCGCTGGCGTTAAATACTGGTAGACTTACAGCTTTCCGCGATGCGAGTTTATTTATGCGGGCCGAAAAACGCAGTTTCGTATTCTCGATCGTGCCCGGCACTTCTGACTCTATTACAAGCTGAAACCATGCAGTGGGAGAAACTGGACTTACCTGTGGCTAAAAACCTCAAGGTGAGCTCGAGTCGCGTGTGGGGCTTCACGCTTTGCCTCACGTTGGTGTCTTGTTTCTCGATAAGGGGCCCGACGCGGTAGGACCTCCTTGAACGTTGTCTCGTCCATGCGCAATAGCTCCCGGTACGCCCTCGGGTCGGTCAGGCGCAGTTCGGGTCACCAAACTGCTCTGCGTGGCCGTTTGCTTATTCAGAACTCACTCCCTGGCCCACAGTTCCGGTTGTTTTGCGGCCGCTTCGTCGCACTGAAAACTTTCGTCGATGAAGAGGGCCAACGCGAGCAACTTGCGCTTGGAAGTGTCCATGTTTCCGCTGCTCTCGTAAACCGGGAAGCGGCGAACTGCACCTCTGGGGATATTGGGGATATCCTCACCGGGTCCCTATTATTTCGTCGAAACTCGTTTCGTGGAATTACGTTTCGTGGACAACTTTTCGTGGACACACGTTTCATGGACACACGTTTCGTCGACACTGTGACATTTCGTCGACAATCGTTTCGTCGACAGCACCACCGTAAAACGTTTCGTCGACAAACTTTTTTTTCGCTGTTCCGAAAGGAATGCCGGAAACCTAAGGTACAAGCGCTTGTAAGAGATGACAAAGACGATGCCAAGCGCAGTTGCTCTCCAAGGTGAGCAACTGCGCTATCCTTTCGCTCTCATCCGTGCCACACGGAATAAGTAAGAGCGCGCAGGACTTCGCGCGCGGCCTATTCAGATATTTGCAAGTTCCGATGCCCGTTTATGGAACCGAAAGTTACTGGAAGAAAAAAAAAAAAAAGCGGTGGAGAAAAATATGCGTAGGCGCAAAACAAAACTTCGTTCTAATGGTGGGTTGCGGAAATGGGCGTAAACACTGATTTTTTTTTCTTTATATTGGTTATTTTTAAACAAAAATACAACTTCCAGCTTTTTATTGCAACATTACAACCCTAATATTTCACTTGAAATTAAACATGTTCATTACCCTCAATTAGTCAAAAGGAAAAGTGATGCGGTGTTTTACTGGCTACTGCGGCTTATACGCGAGAAAACTGTTTACTCGCACTCGTTTCATCGTCATTTATTTTTAAGGGCCGTTTAAAAAGGACATTACATAATAAGGGAGCTGTCAATGTCAAATAAAAATAAATAACAAAAACACGAAAACCAGTAACACTCGCACTACCGCGAGCACGCTGCCCGCGAGTAAACCTTAAAAAAAACTACATTGCAATGCAAAAACGGAAAAACACGAGAATTGGTAACATATAAATAAAACATTACATCAATTTTAGTCTTATTACACGAAGTAAACCATAGTTGATATCAAATGTGCAACTTAATGTATTATATAGCTTCTCTCGAGCGGCCGCCACACCCAAGGCCTCGGAGGCGGTAGATACCACTAGACGAGATCTGTCGGCAGCAGCCGACTGGTCCTCACACGCAACATTAAATTTTTCTTTTATCGATGCCAGCAGACAGATACTTGGGGTAAGTTCGTGGCCCAGCTCTTTGCATAAAGGAGCGGCTTCCAAATCTCGTGTTCTTTGGTCACATATTGGTTTATGTGCATGCAAAATTGTATTACAGACATAACATATGCAGAACTATAGTGTTATTTAATATCCAGAAGCTAAATATGCTAAAGTCTAAAACTCGTATGCGGTGTGGTAAGTACACTACGTTAAATACCCGGTGTTTTGAGGAGAAAACAACCGTGTTTTATCACCGTAAAGTAAACTACGCGTAGCCAAATGCTCAGTTTCTTTCAAAGTTTATTGCTTGCGGCTAAGCTCAGATGCCAATTCGCTTAAAAACCGATTTTATGCCATTTTCAACGGTAGAAAGGCTGTGTGCACCGCAAACAGGCCTCGTTTTTTTATTCAATTTTTTTTAAGACCTTCAGTGTTTTGACGTGTGGACTGTCTATGGTAGGTTCAGGTGACTCTTGAGGATTCTATCAAAAGACGCGACGCGCGGAAAGATACACTTGCTCTCGAAACGATCCTGCCACTTGTTTCAAAATAGTCGGAGTGCCGGAGGCCAGTCCGCGAAGGGTTGCATTCGATGACGTGCAGACACCTCGATCACGTATGCTGCCGAAAGCGTAGCCCTCAAGGGCAGCGCATCATGTTGAATGTTTTAAGAATCTAATTTGAGAAAGGAGAGTGGTCGAGAACAAAACTTCCCGGCTTTGACAACGCTTCCCCAAAGGTTCGGGCAAAGACGCGAGCGAAACCATACAAATCGTAAGTTCCGAAATCAGTGCGATCAGTGCCCCCCCCCCCCCGCAAAATAAAAAAAAAAAAAGAAAAAAAAAATTAAAAAACTGGACGAAACAATTTTCGGGGTGAGGCAAGATGGCTGCGCACTGGTTCGCGAGCTGTCGACGAAACGTCGCAACATCTGTCGATGAAACGAGCGGGTGCTTGTTTCCACGAAACGATCTGTCGATGAAACATCGCAGTGTCGACGAAACGATTTGTCCATGAAACGTCGTTCGACGAACTGATTGCCACCGATCCTCACCCCGGACTGCGTGAGTACAGAGGGCGGGAAAATTTTGCTCTTCGCCGACTCCGTCCTGCGAATGCTAGCCCGGTTATCTCCGAGTGTCGTCCTCTCCGACGCGGCTTTTCCTCCTCGCAGGTTTGTGACGTAGCCGGTTTTTCAAGTTTTCGCCGCGGAGATACATCTCTCGTGCGAATACACTATCAAAGGTACTTCTAGTAGAAGCAAGAACCGCAATTCGACCCGCAAAAACCGCGTAATAAATATTAAAAATATTAAAAGAAGGACAACACGGACTTCACTATATTAGCGATGTGCGCGACCAAAAATGTGTCGTTGCGGTAAGCTTTCCACGATTGGCCAAACCACGGGCACATGAACATTGTCAGAATGTCAACTTTGGCGGTGTTAGTTTCGGATTGCAATGGCTCCTAGCTTCCGCTGTGCTTTTTAAATGCACCATCGAACTCGTCGTCGCACCTGATGGTAAGTAGCACTGATCTCTATGACAATTGCTGGATCGCGCTTTCCCGCACCGCAAATGAGGCCACCGTCGGCCATCTTACGAGATATGCTCTAGCGCTGTCAAGCCTAGACAGTTACCATGGTTACCGTGTGTAGGTCACGTGAAAACAGAGGCGAAGGTCACGTGACCGCCACCTTGACAACGCTTCAGCCAAGGTTGGCTTCAGCGGATCTCGTAAGACGGCCGACCGGTGGCCTCAACGTTGGGTGGCCTAAATCGCGCAATGGGCTCGAAACGGGGAAGCGCGATCCAGCAGTTGTCATAGAGATCAGTGGTAAGTAGCAAGGGTAACAACTGGTGGACGTCACGGCGAGGCAAATCCCAGTCGTGACGTCACGGAGGGAAGCCATAAGAGGGCGCCACCGAAACATCTCGGCCAAAAATCTACGCCAAACAACGTGCAAGAATAAAAAAAAAAAAAAAAAAAAAAATATTGCAACATTATTGTTTTTATTCTCCGTTCCACCTTCAGTCCGAGCGCAGTGGACGCCACGAGCTACCCCAGCCGATTGGGCAGGGCAAGGTCACATCACTCTCAACTAGGGGTGTCGCGAACCGGCCGCGGTTCGAGTTCGGCCAGGTTCGACTTTTTCGAACTTTTAGTGGAAAGTTCGTCGAACCTCGTATTGAGGTTCGACTCGTGTGCGCATGCGCGACAGGCTGGCCAGTTGGCTTCGGATTGGATGGCAATGGCTAAGAGATGAATTAAGTGCAGCGCTGATCGGCTATTTCAGTCAATACAGTACTAAAATTTAAGTTATTAACTTCTTCAGTGAATAGAAGTAGTTTCTTTTAATTGCAGCTGTTCACACAATAAAATAACCCTTTGCATAAAAAAGAAATTCTCCAAACCTAGACATGCTTGTATTAAGGTCTGGCCACACTGTCCACAAAGTCGAACCGGTCGAATCTGGTGAAAAGGTCGAAGGTTCGTCGAACCGGTTCGACCCAGTCGAACCCCGAAAGGTCGACCAACAAATCTGGTTCGACAAAAGTTCGCGACACTCCTACTCTCAACGCTGGTTTGGTTGGGATGGCTGCTAGCGTCCGTTGCGCTCGGACTGAAGGTAAAACGGAGATTATTTCTTTTTTTATGTATGTTTTTTTCATACATGCTAGAGATTGCAATCAAATATATCAAAAGGCGCGCTTGTATCGCTAGCCGCAGCACGTCCAGATGAATATCTCAAATAAAATAATTAAATAAGCATCACACCTTTTCTATCTACGTCCCCAGAGCATCTGTTCACCGGTCTACTACAATACACAAAAATTTGTAACTCGACGTAACAAGACTTTTTCTTGAACTCTTCTGCCTCGCACAATGCTGTTGATGACTGGGTTGGGAGCGCGTCCCCGCGGAGACACGCCGCTTCCTTCACTTTTTTTCGATTACGCCCTCTCCGCACGAATGGGACGGCCGGAGAAGCGGTCGCGCGCTTCGGGATGTCGGAGACCATGCCAGCATATGTTTGTCTTTTTAGACTTACACTAGGTGACGCAAGCTACCGCCAGTTGCAAGGCGTATAGCCAGTAACATTTATCCAGCTGCCAACATCGTCCAACATCTATCTATCACGATTCACCAGCATGGCGGCATGGACGGCATGGAATGCCGGAGTCCGGCGTGGCTTTGTTGCTCGAAGGACTAGAGCCGAATGTTTCGGATGTTTCCAAGGTGCGCAACGAACGTCACTAGTTCTGCAAAGCGTCGTGTGCGAGTGCCTTGCGCGTGACAGCGTCTGCAGTCGCCGGGAGACCGGCCTCAAAGCACGACGGGCTTCGTCCTGCCACAAAGGTATGCGGAAAGTACCAGGGGGGCTATGTTGCGCTTTTTGCACTCCCAGGAGACTAGGGAGAGGGAGGTGACTTCAACGACACAGCAAACGCAGATCGGGTGTTGATTTCGTTTTCTTCTGTCAACATCCAATCTGCATTTGCTGTGTCGTTGACGTGACTTCCCTCTTCCAAGTCTCCTGGGAGTGCAAAAGGTGCAACATAGCACCCCAGGGGGGCTATGTTGCGCTTTTTGCACTCCCAGGAGACTAGGGAGAGGGAAGTGACGTCAACGACACAGCAAACGCAGATTGGGTGTTGATTTCGTTTTCTTCTGTCAACATCCAATCTGCATTTGCCTTGTCGTTGACATCACTTCCCTCTCCCTAGTCTCCTGGGAGTGCAAAAAGCGCAACATAGCCCTCCTGTTCGCACTGTCACGGCTGTGGCACCAAGCAGTGTTCGGCGCTTTGCTGTGGTCTTGTGCACCGGGATTCCTTGAAGGCTCGGTAAACACCAGCCCGCAAACATTTTAGAAATGTGACATTGATTCGTTCGTGCCATCCCGCAGTAAATGTTTTTTTTTTTAATTAAAAAGCGGCGCGAAATTCACTTCAGCACCGCTCCCCAGTTGTTTGGTTCTGATCAACGGTGCTAAATGAGCTCAGTCGACAAGCTCCGCATTAAAGCGCGAAACACACGTACGACCAAACCGTCCGATCCGACGTCCGACCGCGCAATACGACGGTCGCAGGCGAGGGTTTTCAACGCTCTCCGATGCTACGGAACCCCCTCGCCCCCCAAGGTCATTCCGGCAGTCCGCACGTCGGATCGGACGGTTTCGTTGTACATGTGTTTCGCGCTTAAAGCGCGAAACACACGTACGACCAAACCGTCCGATCCGACGTCCGACCGCGCAATACGACGGTCGGAGGTGAGGGTTTTCAACGCTCTCCGGATGGATGGATGGATGGATGCTACTGGCTATACCCTTTGTATCGGGCGGTAGCTTGCGCCACCTAGCCTACGTCTAATAAAGACAAACATTTGATTCCCCCGCCCTTCTAAGCCAATTTTCTCTCCCCCCCTCCTCCTAACTATCACCAGGTAGTGCGGGATATCGCCAGGCTGACCTTTGGGGGATCGGGCAAAAAAACTAAAAACATCACCCCCCGCCTCTTCCCCCCGGCGAGGGAGTCGCCAATTTTCCTCTGGTCAAACCTTGTCGGCGTTACCCCTGCACCCAACCCACTGGGGGACAGGGTTGAGACTTTGGGCCTGAGCCACGCGGGAGGGAGTCCCAATTTTCCTCTGTCCCGCCTGTCCCCAGCTGTGCTAGTTAGTTGTGCATCATTCAATTTTCCCTAGATAATTTCCACCAATCTTCTAACCGCCTCTTTGTTATTGTGATCCTCTTCTCCTCCGTCCTTCCATCGTCGCCAGCAAAGCCCAGGGCCCCGGCCAAACCCGTTACACCCTCAGGAAGGGCAGGACGAAGCCTCGTGCACCTTACAACTAGGTGCTCAAGTGTCTCACTCTCATCACGGCATGCAGCGCATAATGTGTCTATCTCCTGAAATTTAGCCCTATACGTCCTCGTCCTCAAAACTCCCGTTCTCGCCTCGAAAAGTAAAGAACTTCCCAGCGAGTTGTCAAACACATTTTCCTTTCGTATGTCCTGTTTTTGTGACCTGTAAACCGTTAGAGTCGATTTTTCCTGCATTCTTCCCTCCCACATTTTCCTCTCTGCCTCTTTCACTCCCTTTTTCACTGAAGTAGTCTGCTCAACCCCATCATTAGTGAGTAGGTATTTAAATGTAAGCTTTCGGGTTCGGTTTGTCCATTTTGTGTTTATGCTCTTCATGTATAAATACTTGTACACCTTACGTGCCCATCTCGTATCATCCATTTCAGTCAACCTTTGTTCAAATTTCAACTTACTGATTGCTTCCCTGCTCTCAAAAGACGACCAGCCCATGTCCCCCTGCACTCCCTCAATTGGTGTGTTTCCATGTGCTCCCAGTGCCAATCTGCCTACGCTTCTTTGCCGAATTTCTAATCCTGATTGAACCTCTGATTTCATGCAGAGCACCCCATTGCCAAAAGACAGTCCAGGTACCATCACTCCTTTCCATATACCCCTGACCACTTCATATCTGTTATAGTTCCATAGTGCCTTGAGCTTCATAATAGATGAATTTCTTTTCCCTTTTCTAATTATATTCTCCTCATGTTCTTCTAGATATTTCTTTCCCTCATTGAACCAGACTCCCAGATATTTGTATTTTTCTACATGGTCTATTAAAATGTCTTGTATCCGCAGGGGTCCCCTCTTTTCATCATTAAGCACCATTACTCCAGATTTGTCGCTACTAAAGCTCATGCCCAAGATGTCCCCTTCCTCTCCACATATGCCGGCTAGTTCCTGTAACATATCCTGGTTGTCTGCCATAAGTAATATGTCGTCCGCATACATCAGTCCTGGTATTACCTGTCTTACCTTTCTCCCTCCTTCCATATAACTCACATCAAAACCTAAGTTGCTCTGCTCTAATTTCTTTTCCATTTCCCTGAGATATATCATGAAGAGCAGAGGCGACAGTGGACAACCCTGCCGGAGCCCTCTTTTTATTGCTGCGGGTTGTGTAATTTCTGCTTCCCATGTTATAACTACCTTATTGTCTGTGTACACCTGCTGCAGAAACCTAACCAAATTTGCATCCAAATTATACTCTTTCAGCCGACCCCAAAGTATTTCCTGGCTCACATTATCGTATGCTCCCTTGATGTCCAAAAAAGCTAACCACAGCGGAGTTTGGTTCTTGATTGCTATTTCTATACATTGAGTGGTGACGAATAAGTTATCTTCCAGTCTTCTATCTCTTCGGAATCCATTTTGAAGCTCACCCAGTACTTGCGTATCTTCTGCCCATTCCTGCATTTTCTGCTTTACAATCTGCATAGCTAATCTGTAAAGAACTGAGGTTACCGTTATCGGGCGATATGACTTAATGCTGTCTTTGTTTCCTTTGCCTTTATATATTAGTCTCATTCTACTTAGTTTCCAATCATTGGGTACTTCTCCTTTCATAATTGCTTGATTAATCACCTGCCGTAACTTCAATTTGCTTGTTTTTCCTAGTGTCTTTATGAGTTCCATGGGTATGTTGTCGGGGCCTGTTGCTGTACCTGCTGGAACCTTACTTTCTGCCTTATCCGATGCTACGGAACCCCCTCGCCCCCCAAGGTCATTCCGGCAGTCCGCACGTCGGATCGGACGGTTTCGTCGTACATGTGTTTCCCGCCTTAAGGCGCAATCACACAGCGGAAAGACGTGCGTCGTGGGGTGAATTTTTTTGCTTATTTTTGTATAGGCAGCCGGCAATGGCCAGGCGGCGCCACGATAGTACTGCATTCAGCACGACCAACTCTATTACTTCCGACCACTTCACCCGGAGCGCGCCTACGGGGAGCGCTGTCCCCGGATGCGGCACGCCTAGTTTCGCGCCACTCTACTAGATGGCGCCACAGCTCAGCTGTAGAGTTCTGCTCTACAGCTGCCCTTTGTCGCCTTTGTTGTTCATGTTATACTTACAGGGATTGGAGAACAAACTAGAGCGGAGCGGATTTGGCTTCAACCTTTCTTTCATCAAGCAAGGTGAATGGATTAAACAATCACTACCGGGGCTGATGTATGCAGATGATATAGTGCTAATGGCCAGCAACAAAGATTTGCAGAAATTAATGGATAGCTGGTACAGAGGGAGATAAACTAGGTCTTAAATTTAGTCAAGAAAAATCGGCAGTGATGATTTTTAATGATAAAGATGGTGGCGAGCATAGGATACAAGAGGTCATGTTGGAGGTAGTGGATAAGTACAGGTATCTTGGGGTATGAATAAATAATGGTGTTCAGTATCTAACGGAGCATGAAAAACATGTAGCGATGAAAGGTAGCAGGAATGCAGCCGTCATGAAACATAGGGCTCTGTGGAATTACAGTAGGTATGAAGTGGTGAGGGGGATTTGGAAAGGGGTCATGGTTCCCGGCCTGACCTTCGGCAATGCGGTCCTGTGCATGAGACCAGATATTCAATCAAAGTTAGAAATTAAACAGCGGGGCGTAGGTAGGCTTGCTTTGGGAGCTCATGGAAATACGCCGAATCAGGGGGTACAAGGCGACATGGGATGGACGTCATTCGAGGGCAGGGAAGCTAGCAGCAAGATAGAATTTGAGGAGCGTTTGAGGGAAATGGAGGAAGAGCAGTGGGCTAGGAAAGTTTTCAGTTATTTGTACATGAGGAATGTAGATACCAAATGGAGAAAGCGAACTAGAAAATTATCAAGCAAATACTTGGGCGGCAGTGGGGGCGCCAACCAGGAATTACGGGTTAAGAAAAGGATAAAAGAAACAGAGAAGGGTCTGTGGGAAACGGGTATGCAGACAAAACCAGCACTGGAGACGTACAGAATGTTCAAACAGGAAATTTGCAAAGAAAATATCTACGATAATTCTAGGGGAAGCTCTTTGTTGTTTGAGGCCAGGACGGGAGTATTGCAGACTAAGACGTACCGGGTTAAGTACCAGGAGATGGACACTTTATGTAGTGTGTGTGGGGAGCAGGAGGAAACGGCTGAACACTTAATACTTTTCTGTAAAGGGCTTCACCCAACAGTTAACAGTGACCGGGCGGATTTAATCAAAGCATTGGGTTTTAAAGACAGTGACGGAAAAATAGACTTTACACGGGTAGAAATAACCAAGCGGAGGTTATCAGACTGGTGGCTAAAATCGAGGCAGGGGTGAGATTTAATCTTGGAATTCAAAACATATAATTAGATTTATAATGTTGGCTAGGTGGCGCAAGCCACCGCCCGATTCACAGGGTTTAGCCAGATCCATCTATCCATCCATCCATCCAGAGTTCGGGAGCAGAACGAAGGCTGAGCTCTCCGCGCGGCCGCAAATTGTCGATGAACAACTGACTTCCGCCTCATTCTTTTGATAAAAATTTCCTGAAC